GAGGGTTTTAAATGGCTGAAGAACACTGCGTAGATTTCGGCGGGTATCCCGTCCTCACCGGGAGATTACCGTGGCTTGAGATGGCTGATGATATCTGAGACTTCTTCTAATGATGGCGGAGCGCAGTTAGCTTCGTACGGCGAAGATGGCGAGTTGGATTTGAGGGCGATTGAGAAGGAGACTAGAGTGTTCCACCCATCGAGACATTTTTCCGTGCGCATCGCAGATGAGCTCACCGGAGGCGCTGCGCAGCACAGAGTGGGCGACCTGTTTCTTGCCCGATGCTGACCGAATAATTCGGAAGAGGGTTGCCGTGTTGCACAGGTTGGCTGCTGTCTCCATTTTTATAGCCATTTCATTCCAGTAGTTGCATCTATCGTTTCTGGCTGATCGTATTGCTTGTCGTCTGAGATCGCGATAAGCAGAGGATTGAGCTAGACGGGCCTCTCTGACCGCATTAGCTAACTGGATAGTGTGGTCGGATATCCAGTCCTTCAGACGACGTGATCTAGTGCTTAGTGCATGTAGAGCAGCTTGTGGTACCGATGACTTCATCCTGGTCCACTGAGTTTCAACCGAGCTCCCTGTGTTACCTTGTGTACCGAGGAGATCGTTTAACAGCTGTGCAGCCCATTAGTGCCCATTGACGTCTAGCATTTCTCGCTGTTCTCCAGCGGTAGCACATTTGGCGTTTTGAGGGGACGGTCTTCCTGCGATTAGTTAGATGGAGTCTAACTTTCACGCGAACTTGTACGTGATCAGATCCGCATAGGTTCCCGCATTCAGCCCCGCGATAGGATCGACAGTCTTCAATCGAAGAAACCCATCGTGAAGGGATGAGAACATAATCAATTTGATGCGCCGTTCGACCGTCGTTAGAATACCACGGTAGAAGATTCTTTTTTGGATGTTGAAACCACGTGTTTGTAATCCACAATCGATTATAATCGGCAAAGCTGAGTAGTTTGTCGCCATTCTCGCCCAGGCCAAATCTCCCTATGATGTGCTTCGTGGCCTCTGCTTGTGGACCTGTTCGAGCGTTCCAGTCCCCTGCTATGACAAGTACATCCCGTTTGGGTATTTCATTAACAAGCGATTGAAGGCTGCCGTAGAACTCATCCTTGACGTTGTTGTCAGATGGGAGATTCGGGGCGTAGATAGCGATTACTGTGAGGTTTACTGGATGACCCTTGAATCGGACTACTGCAGTCCTAGAGGATATTGGTTGCCAGGAAAGTAAAGCACTATGGCCTAAAGCAAGTGCCGCTCCGTGTTGATCCGATGTTTCGTTGCCGCTGTGGTACAGCCAGTAATGGGTATTAATACCTGGGATTTGGTGCCGGAGCCCACCAATCTGACTTCTGAGAGGCATGTAATATACAGCTGATAATCATGCAGCGTGCGTATCGTTAGTGTCTGACTCCCGGCATCTAAGAGTGTTCTTACATTCCAGCATCCAATGTTAGAAGTTTTGCGTCGTTTGAGGTGTCCAGTGCGCGTTCTTGTCACCCGGGTCACTAGAGGAACACAGGGCGCGTCGCTTCCCGGGAACGCCGTAGCATGGTTAACAAGACAGGTTGAGTGGATATCCATCAAATTTCTTGGGAGTTAGGAACAGGAAACGTCCCCATCGTTATCTGGCTTTGGGTCCAGTTGGCATCTCTAGCCTTTGCACATCCAAGTGCTAACTGCAAGGCAGCAGGAGGGTAGCGCTTGGTGGCCGGTGGCCCTCTGGGAGGAGCTCATACGCCATTGACAGTTGCTAGCTGAACAGGGGTTCATGCATCCCTGGTGAGTACGGAGTCATTGTCTGGGCCGCTGGGTGGTGAAACCGACTTCGTCAGCACAACACGTATATATATATATATATATATATGTATATAAGGGTGGTGGTGCAGTGGTTTATTCGCTGTCACTAGCTTGCTTTGGACCCTATAGTCCGAAGTTCGAGCCCCGCCACCACCACCCACCTTAGGTGGTAGGCAGCTTTGCTGTCGTCCAATTCAATACCATGTCTAACCTAGCGGGGCCTTATGTGGTTCGCCACTCCCAGTCCCAGGGCTTAGGTTGTCCGTTTCCATGACGAAGCAGCAAGTCTTCGTGATTATGGGTTTCGCCCTGTCTGCTGTTCACGCAAATGTGTTCTCCCACTCTGGCGGGAAAACACTCGCCACGAGAAGGCAGTTTGATGCTTTGCGAAGAAGCTCATGTAAGTTGTGATATAAGGCATCTTTGACTGCATCCGGGCTACAGTCTGTGGGAGCGTATGCAGAAACCACTAATAAGTACCGCTTGTTTGGTTTGTGCTTTTAGACTTTACTTGAGCCTCTGAGTCCCACTGCAAATAGTCGGCTATATATCGAGATCCAGTTCAATAGACGATCCTCGTGGCGCTTATCGGACTTCACATTCGTCTGAATCCAGACTATGCCAACTAAATCACAGTACAATTATCTTCATAAAAAAGTAAGAAAGAAAGCAGATTTTGAGAGAGTTTTGCGTGAGAGTTTCAAACATGTTAGAATTCATAAGTCCTTAAGTCCATGCTTAAATTGCGAGTGTTGTACTATCCGGTTGCCCAGGCCGAAGTAGAGGGTTTCCTTGGGGGCTCTACTTGAAGGCTTTGGTTAGGGAACCTGACCCACAAGACAGTGGGGTGGAGTAGGGTGTCTACGATACCCTGAGGGCTGGTGACTGACCGACCGGTGCATACACCTTTCGGATGTGGCCAACTATCCAGGGTACCCAGATTGCCCTTGTGCCGCGCACTTACCAGCGAGCGTCACGGTGGGCAATTTCAGAGGGTAACTTTGGAAACCGGTTTGGTTGTGCCGAGGATTGGTGCCACCATGAGCTTGTTACTCTAAGTGTTAGTAGAGTCAGAGTTTAGCCAACTCCCCTAGACTGATCACCACTGGCTAGTCAGTCCGACGGGAAGCACATGACATTCGCTTTAAGCACCTTAGGAGGTCGATCGCAGCTGGATTTCGTGTTGAGGAGGAGACCACATCATAAATAGCAAAAGTTAGAGCAGCTTTTGTCAACCCGCGATACCTGTACCGCCGCCGTGATATCCGATTCTCCCTTGAGAGAAGGGTGTGCATCGCCGTGGTTCATAGTGTTCTGATTTACGGTTGCTTAACCTGGCCCCGTTGCGTTGAGGATGCTAACTGACTTTCTGTATTTGACCATCGATATCTCCGAAGCATTGCTTGTATCTGGTGGGAACATCAGGTGAGCAAAGGCGAGGTTCACCTTCGTGTGTTGGGTGTGGATGGTCGTTCTTTAAAATAAGTAATCGATCTATGAAGGGGTCAGTTTCAGCTTTGGCTTCGGTCGGTGCAGCCTTCCAAGCTGGGGCGCAATCAATGAGGATTGTCTTTGGTTAGATAGTGCCAATGGTTCATCGACCCGGATATTGGCTTTTCTTCCCCTCACTTTGGTGGGAAAACACCTGTGACGAGAAAACAACAGAGGCCATTTGGTACGCTTGGTTTTATGGAAGCATTTCGCGAGGCCAGCCACAACCCTGGACACCCACTCCCGACCGTACTGGGGTTTTCGTAGGCGCAACAGAGGAAATGGTGGCAATAAAGTTAATGCGATCAACTCCCTGTTCACAAGAACAGTTTATCAAAGCCCTCCAGCTACCGTGGCCCAGGCTTTTCGCAGAACGCTTATTCACCCTTGACGCGTTGATCAAAACCCGAAGTTTGTGACCTCCCTCTCTTCCCTGCTGTTTCTCGATTTCCTGTTATAAACCGCTAATAAGTAACTCTTTGTTCTAATTTCTTTCTAGCAACTCTTCACCAAATCTGTATCACCCTCTATTCTTCTTGATTTAACTAAGCAAATTTTGTTCTTTCACCTGTTTCACGCATCACGGGTGAAGTGCCGGCACGCATACAGAAGGCTGGATTGGCATAGGCCAACTTGAGACACTTGGCAGCGTCGCGACATCCAGCTGTCTGTGGAGGATGGGGTGTGTGCTGTAGCATTTCGGCCAGTGCTGCCATATAGTGCTAGGGCTTGACCTTTACAGAAACAGGACAAAAAGATACTGTTGGTATTCGAACGCCGCCATCTGCGTTGCATTGTACAGGCCTGGTCAACAATCCAGACAATCAATGCAAAGGCTGTTTAGAATCTTCGTTAATCTCGATCATCCACTGGAGGCAAATGGAACTCAAACTCACTTCTCTCATTCGCAGTTATCAGTTCATTCAGTGAACCGTGCACTCAAGAAGCACCTGACTAGAGTGTTGCTCTCAATAGAGCCTCTTAGTGGTGCACACTCACCGTACCGTTCAGGTTTTGAACTCTGGACCCGTCGCATGAAATACATGTGTGTTGTCGCTGTGCCTAACAGCTCGCATCCGGTTGGCCACAGTCGCCAATTCAGGTTTGTTCAGGTGTCGTCTTCACTGATCGTCATTAAGTTCGTTTTAGCGTGACAGAAACGAATAGGAACGGAATTGTCTACCAGTTGACTCCACTCTAAACCTTCCCACAAAGTTAGGTCTCCCATGCTGTTTCGGACTAAGTTGCCACAAACAAACCTACTACAATGGATTCTAACTTACATTTCGTTGATTTCTACGTGTTAGGGGGATAGATATAAAAAGTAAACTAAGTTTAGGGGATTATAGGAGCCAGTTTACTATAGCTTTAATCTATAACCACCGAAATGCTGTTGACGGCGAAACCGTTAGAATTGCTTTATGTTCCTATTCTAATTACGTTTTAGTAATCGTCCCCGATAATCCATAAAGTTCAGGCTAAAACAACCGTAACATGCGTTTCTTTTGAGTAAAAAAGCTATGTTCCGGAGTTAGCGTGCATTCTTTATTCTATTTTTGAGCCTTGTTCTCTTTGTTTTCGTTGTTATAGTATGATCGAATACTACGTTATTGTACAAATATTTCAGCCTGCAGGTGATTGCAGTTCCTCCAACCGCATTAGGGAAAAACAGTTGGAAAAACACCATCAGATTATGCGGAATGCCGAAACGAAGGTTACGCAAGCGTCAGTCAGACAGAGACACGCCAGATATTTCTGGTTCACATTCAGATGTTTCCGTTCCAGCCGATTATGGACTACTTGAAGGAACCGTCCACCCAACTCGTGTGCCTACCCAGGAATTCCTACCTCGTGCTTCTTCAGCTGCTATTTCCGCCTGCCATTCTTCTGGTTTCGCTCCACCGGTGGATGGTGCGGATGAGAATGATGCCTTGAACACTTCCGCCATTGGAGTCAAATTGGAGTCATTCCTTCTAAGAGCCTCTAACTATTTTGCTAATCTTTCATCCAGTACTTCACGTCTGAACAACAGCTCTGTCACAGACAATGCGCCCCTCCTGTCCTCGGTATCTCACTCGCCCAGTTTGGCCGAGAGTACGTGCAATCTATCAAAGAACCA